TATACACAACCATACCCATCAATCATACATCTGCTATATTGTCTTTTTGTACCTTTGATTAGTTGGTTGACGGATTGCTAACCTCACATACAGATTAGTGTAGGACTGTTGTATGCTACCATAGCCAGTACTAACTAATGCTGCTGTAAGTGAACCAGTCAGGGTGCATCTAGACTATGTAGACGATCTGTGTGAATGTTGTAGACATGCCACTTGATTCGGTATAGTAGGGGACTCGCCAGACACAACTATATATAGAAAATTTTGTGCCGGTCAGATTCATGCTGCGGTAGGATTCCACTAGGGGATTCTAGTGTAGACACTATCTGTCTAACTAATGAGTGGGTCAGATCCTGTTGATGATAGAGCTGACAACAGGAGACTAACACGTGCACGGGCACTAAGGGTACCGCACGTGTTTCAGGCCTTGGAGCCGGGAGAAGAAAGAAGGATACGTAGAGCCAGTGCGCTAGCAGCGGGGATAGCAGAAGCAAACAGAGCAGCAAGAGAGCAGGCAACAGCAGCCAGAGCAGTTGCGATGGCTAACGGCGCAAGCTCTGCTGCGTCATCATCTGCGTCCTCGTCAGGGACTAATGGGAGCTCGTTGGGAATGCCAACGAGTTCCACAAGTTCCTCAGGCACTTCCGGTTCCACAGGTTCTAGACAGTCTTCAAGTCAAATGGAAGGCTCACAGTTCAGCCCCATGACCGCACGTGAGCGAGAGCTCAGAGAGATCCAACAGGTCGAGAGGCTACGCCGTAAGTTAGAGCAGGACCTGAAAGAGGCAACCGATAGAGAAAATGAAATGAAAACTGGAGCAGCCAGGCTTGAAACATTAGACTGACAAGGCTGAACTAGAGGGCTTGGATGAGGCAACAATGAATGCCCAGATGAAAGTGTTGAAGAAGAATGTGTTGTCGCTGCACGCGCATGTGGACAGCAGATTCGACTTCATGCAAAGCACTCTAGACCAGATCCTGGACGCTTTGACAAGGCCAGGATACCGGCCACCAGCACAATCGCCATTGCCGTTATCGGCGATGTCAGGCCCCTTTCCGGTTCAAGCTGGCACACAGCCAAGTGGCACATCTGCAGCAGCAGCACAGACTGTTGCATCTTCTTCTTCGGGTCCAGCGGTGGTTGCTACACCACCGCAACAGACTAGTCCTCCACAAGGACAGCCGCAAGGTCAATGGTATCCCAAGACCCCAATGAAACCGCCTCATGCATTCTCAGGCGAGAGAAAGGACAAGGAACTCAACACATGGTTGAGGACAGTCCCGGTTTGGGTAAAGGCCAAAAGGACCTTGCCTGAGGACGAAGTGGTAACTGCGGCGTCTTACCTAGAGGGTAAGGCAGCCAAATGGTTAGACGGTGTAGTTGTGAAGGCCGAGTACGGGCGACGCATGGCGGATTGGGCTAAGTCTTTGACTTTAGACCAATTCATGGAGATGGTAGAAGCTCGATGGCATAACCCACAAGAGGCTCAAAGGGCCACTGATGCCATTAATAAACTGGACCAACGCAAGTTCAGGTCAGTGAGGGAGCTTACGACTACCGCCGAGAGCCTGATCCTCGTCCCAGGCATCAACTACAGTGACCAGTTCCTCTTAACCACGGTTGTTAGATGTCTACCTGAGAACATGAGGAACTTACTAGCCAGTGAGGCACGCACTGAGTACCACTCATTTGAGACATTGTCTAGGAAAACCTTAGACTAGGCCACGCTAGGCAATGCTCAACCCACCTCAGGAAATGACTCAAAGAAGAAGAGTCCTCAGGAGTGGAAGAAGAAGGGGGCGAAGTTGATGATGGTGGAGTCTGATGGGACTCAAACAAAAATCGACGAGCTCTCTGACCTGGTGGACTACTCAGAGTATGACGGCAAGGAGGTAGCTGAGGGTAACACACTCGCCGCGGTAGTAAAGACTAAGGCAGGTGGCCGAGGGAAGGGCCAACCTAGGAGTCAAGGGAAGGCCGCCTCCAATCAGACCAAACAGGCTGAGTGGGTAAAGGCAGGTCTTGATCAGGACATGTGGCGTGACCGCCGAATGCGTGGCGCTTGCATCAACTGCGGAGAATACGGACACACGCAGTGGAAGTGCCAGAACGCTAAGGTTACACAAAAGGTTGCTCCAAAAGTGGGGACAACCTATTCCCAGGCTTCTAGCTCGGGAAACGCGTAGGGCCAGTGGAAGTAGTAGCGGCTTCTACTCAAGATGAAGTGGGAATGATACCCTCCTCACTTTATGACAAGGCCGAAGCTAACTACTCCTTAGTCACCCCGCAGACACAACTAGACCAAACTATGCTCTGTACGTTAGATGTGTCTGAGGCCTTAGAAGACTTAGAAGGCGAGTGGTCAAACAAGGACCCTCGCGAGTCTTGGGTGGCGCTAAAGAAGGGTCCTAGAGGGGAACATTTTGTAGTGGAAGTGGATGTAGGAGGCCGCAAATGTGGAGCCTTCATAGACAACGGATCCACGAGAAATTACATAAGTCGCGATTGTTTGGAAAGGCTCCACCTACAGGACCGGGTACGGCACCTTAGTAGATCAGTAGCATCTACTTTGGCCAACAAAGAGCGCATGATTGTCACAGACTACATCTAGGACGTAGTCTGTACCTTCTCCTATGGAGGAGGAGAGCTT